GACCCGTTGCGTGAATCGCGAAAATCAGCGAAACTGCGACGGATCGCGGACTCTGATACCAGCCTTACTCGTGAACTGTGGTAGCATCGGGCACTAATCTATGAAAAAAAAACAAGTGAACTGACCTCCATCCTCTTCAGTAGGTGAATTCGATTCATTGTCCACAGCAGCGCAATCTTCCGTTCCGTTGGCGTTCCCTTCCTCTTCACGCTTCTTTTTTCGCTCTATAGAAGCAGCAATGATTTTTAATGTAATACTTCGACATGATCAAAAAAGCTATAGACGAATAGTACCGGTACTCACTTTCACACTCGTATGAGCCTTGGACGCGTTTCCGTCTATTAACTTCTTGAGCCTTGATGCCTTCTTCTATAGAACTGCGCAAAGCGTCCATATTCGTCTGAGCAGCGAATTTCTCCGAAGCAACTGACTGGAGGTCTTCATACGTTTTTCGATCGGGCCAGATCTACAGTAGAAATTGTCGTGTCTCAATAAATTGAATCCAGTGCCGCGAAAGCAGACAGAATACGATGTAAAATTTGGTGAATATCAAGTAATTTGTGTGAAAAGAGAGTGCAAACTCTGACACTTTGAAAAAACTCATTTTGTTTGAATTTCCAAAAAAAAACGAACATATATTTATATCACTAAGTGACCATAATTCTGATACAATATTTGCAATATGATCGTTACCTTCGCAATTAGTGAATCAAAGTTCGGATCCGGTCTGAGAGATCGCTTGGAAACCAGCTTTTTACGACATGTAGGGCATTCCTTGTTCCCACGGAAGAGTGCAGTTGTAATGCATTCCGCACAGAATCGATGAAGACATTCCTAACCAGCGAATTCGAAGCAAGAAATGGTGAAACTCTCGTAATTATATTACCTTTGTAGTCATCGTTTGAGTGAGCAAATCTAAACAGATTGGACAACTAAGTTCTGTTGACAAGGTTCCGGCTCGCAACCGGAGCTCGGTATTATCCGCCAAGGATTTGTGAGGGGTTCGCACCTGAACATAAAAGATTAGAAGCAGGAAGAGTATTCCATTTACCCTGCATGCGTTAATTCATTACTTATGGAAGCGCAGATAACCGGTAAAGCGACTAACTGGCGCATAATGTGTGAACTTCTTAACGCAATAATCAAATTCGAAAAAGTGTCATCTAAAAATGGATTTCGAAATTCTTTAAGCCCACGAATTCGTACAATTCAATAATAAACAATTTCTAGAATTTCTAGTGAGAAGAGTGGAGCATCACCAAATTTATGTTTTTTATGATACATTATGTAAAAATTTTGAGATAGCAAATATTTGCAGTGTGTTGGTAAAATGCAGTTTGCTATAATTGCATCGCATTGATGCGTTCATTGGATAGATATAAATGAACACAGAAAACCTACCCTATCATAGTCGTCCAATGTCAGCTCTTTGCCCTCTGCATTAGCCGAGGAAAACGGGAGATTGTTCATGCCGCACAAAAGTGCTTAGAGCACTGAAAAGATTAAAACCTATTTTAATTATTTATTTATTGAGTGGACATGTTGAAACAACATGTAAAGGTAACAGCGTAAACTTAAAGCACATTTTCCAGAACAACAATTCTGGCAAAAGAAGTAACACACTCCGACGAAAGTTTGAATGCGAAAAAGCACTAAAAAATGTAGGCACTCCTTGACAGAAAAACTTTGACTTGTATTGAGATCTAACAGTGGCACATGAAAAAAAGCAGAAACTTCAACCTTAACTGAATCCATTAGCATTTGAACTTCATGAGTAAAGGGCATCGTCTCGGATAAGTCCAAGAGGGGCAGAAATACTAGGGAATTATTAATAATGCTCTCACTCAAGTTCTGAGCCGTTTTTTTTCGTCATTTTGCGGAGGACAAGGTTTCATGGCGGTTTGAAATCCTGCACCATCTACAGTGCCGCGTAATTGGCGAATCACGCCTCCAGGTTCCATAGCTGTTCATCATGAGAGAACATATGGTTCTCGCGGGTGTTTACCTGGCCTTTAAACCACAGCTCCATAATCAGTGCGATTTCGGCTACCACAAATTTTTCCACGGTTACGATAGCAAGTCCACATGAAAGCCGCTTTACGTCATGTTTGCTGCCAGCGTGTCTAGCAAACCCATCACAATGGCTTACTGATTTTTGACAGTAGCTTGGAAAAGTGTGGCATTTCCTCCTCACTTTCATCTTCTATCTGTTGAAATAATCATTCCGAAATGGTCTCGAATTTTCAGTACGAAAATTGTTAGACCCGCCATGAATGGTGAGCCACCCGCACGTTCGAAAAGAAGTTGCAAACGAAAAGAAGAAACAGTAGAGCTAGCGGCATAAGTGAAGAAAGTCCAGCAAAGAAGAAGCTTGGAAATGTTGACTATGGGGCGAGTTTAGCAAGTTCTAAATTTGTCCTTGCAGACCGATCGCAATGGTGGTTTCCGCACCAACGGTCGGAAAGTGAATCTGGAGCGCGGCAGACGCGCCTTCGTCTGAGTTTCGGTGAGTTTGCAATTGCGCTTATATTCCATTCATCTGTTTTTTTACCTACTTTCGTTTTGTTTCATAGCTACAATCACAATCGTTCAGAGATGGTTGCAGTCCTTTTTTTGTGGCATTCAAATGAAAAACTAATAAACAGTCCCATTGGGAAGAAAGTTGAAATTGATGACGTTATATGTCAGATTTTTCCCACACAGATGCTGGTTCTCTTTGCTTCTGTAACATTCGATACCACCCTCTTGAGAAATGATATGAGGACATTCCGTTTAGCGTTCCAGTGGGGCTACATTTTGGAGTAATTTCGAGAAAAACCAGCGATTATGCAGTTGCCGTTACTCTGCATCGTTCTATGGAGCCGTATCTAAAAATACTGCGCAGAAAGATACAACAGCTGTAAGCAGAGCCCCAGAGAAATGCTTTTTGCGTTCACAAGACAGAAATGTGGTGATTTCTTCAGCCCCGCCCACGCGATTCGATCATTTCCTCTTGATTTGAAATTGATTGGGAAATTCTTCACTGCATTTGAAAGGCGTTGTACGGTCCTCTGATCTACGAATATTCATGCTGCTAATAATTATACGTCACAACGCTAACGGCTACAAAAGTTCGTTCGCAACGAGTGCAGGTCTATGGTCACATTTTAGTAGCTGCAAACGTGCGGCCCAGTTCTGTTTAAAAGAGCTTATCAGATCCCAAATGTCCCGCTAGTTTAACCCTCTGTTGGTATACACATGTACCCGTTCATACCTGCAACACCTTATTTGAAAGTGAGGCGCCTATCGAATGTATTCCAGCAGATGGACCAGGAATTAATGTCTGTTCCATGCGTGTCGAGTGTAAGTCACTAGAAAGGAAGTCCCCCACCATACCCCAAGAGCAGACAGATATGCTCCCCGTGCGCGGCTCCAGTCCCGAACTTAACTGATTTTAGCAAAGTGGCGATACATAAAATGAGCGCAAAGCGAGAGTGTGTCGTCTAAGAAGTCATCGAGCAAATCCTTCATGCTTCGAAGCCTGAGCAATCCCGCGTTCCAACGAGGTTAGCGAACCTTGATTTAACCGTACACGTCGTGTCAAACACACGATACACTGCCACACGCAACTGGAACACGGCGTAAGCGGCTGATTCCACAATATTACTTGCATTCCCTCGAAGTCACCGTACCCCGTAGAGGACGGATTCAGATGCACATACGAAAATGTTGTCTAGTGCGCGTCAAACACTACACTTCGCACAGAATATTTGTCCACAAAGGCGGCAATGATGCCTTCGTCTGTTGAAAAATGAGTTTTGGGGAAGTAAATAAGCAACACTCATAATCAAAAAATAATTTTAAAAAGTTACCTGAATGTGGAAAAACGCTCTTCACACTGATAACATTCTTTACCAGTGGAATCAGGCATCCAGTACTGACCTTAAATCCAAGACCTCCCTTCAGACAATTTCCAGACTTCAACAAAAGCTACACTCACGGAAATTGCTCCTGTTGTAATCAATCAATCCTGGCTTAGCCCCAGATTTGAATATACTTGTCAATTTTTCCGAAAATTTTGCTTGCTTGGCATCGCTGTCAAGGCTGTCTGAATGCCCAAAATTCGAGGTGAAAAAATCAGATTCTATAGGATGACAAAGATTTGTTTGGTCAAACTAATCAACCAACAGTGAGCGCATTATTCCAAGAACACTCGCGCCACTCGTCTTTTATATTATATACAGTTCAAGCCAATCTGAAGGAGATGATGGACTCGAAGATAAAATCGTCAACCATTTTTTGGAACCGATTACGCAACAAGGCAGAAGAGCACGGTTTGTGAAGGAAAACCCGCCAAGCCGCTTCCAACCTGGCTTATGAGCGTTTTGTTTTTATCAGATGCAATAGATGTCAAAACGTCTTATCGATAAAACAGGAAGAGTGCTTGTAAGTGGTAAAAATAATCGCCGATTCGCGAACAGTCCGAGAGCGAATCCCGCGGAAAACGAAATGCTTCCTAACTTAAGGAGAATAGCCTTTTGTAGAACGAATTAGCCTCCCCCAAATTCATATTGGGATGCTGCTTGCGTGTGCCCGTTGCATGTCTCTTTTCATTTTGTATGCATATATCACGCAAGACTGAGACAACGCGAGCTCATTCAACCTTAACTTCCATTATGACCGCAAAACATCACATCAGATTTCCGTGACCTACGTGTACACTGAGAAAGTGATTCTTTGATGTTCTTCCCAATTACTTATATTACACCGCCCCACTTCCTATTTAATCGTTCTAATTTGAGCTCAGCTAGCCACTCTGAGAGATAGTCGATATCAGCGCAAGAGATATTCATTGCAGCACCACTATTTGTCATTATACCCCATATTTGCCTAAAATAATCCTCCTCTGAGCACCAACGGAATGCGCTACTCTCTGCATTTGAGAAATAACAAATAATTCTGAAAGAAAAAGCCTCCTGTCAGTGTTCTAGGAACAGCATCTAAACATCGTGTGCGTGACAATGGCGTTTTTACCGAGTAATATCTCACAACATGTCGATGTTTGAGCGCCAGAAACCATACAGCCGAGACAAAAGTCTCACCGTGAGTTCGTCCGGAACGTATGCGGAGGTTATATTCAGCCATTCTTTCTTTAACATTATTCATTAGAGTAGTCTAAAAAAGTCGCGAAAGCATCAAGTACAGTTATGTTGATGGAAAGTGGGATAGGACGGTGTCGCATCTCTTGCAGTGTATGCTTTCGGTCAGGACCACATGACAAGACTCGCTGCGAATGTATTTGCAACGAGACGACGCCCACAAACGTAGCGAACATGGTTTTGTGGCTACAACTCCCCTCCCGTCCTCTTTTTTCCAAATCGGTTACCAGACCCTCTTCCCGGTAAGAAAAACTTTGTCCGATCTGGAGGTTGTCACGGGCTCCGAGCAAACATGGGGTTGTGCTACACCGCTTGACCGAGAATAGTACTATCCGGTCGCGGCAGGTTCTGTGAACCTATTCTCAGCAAGAGGAGGATGCATACGGCCATCGGCGTGGGCACATACGCATGGATGGGGTAGTTGTTTGGTTAAGACACGAACTTCCGCTTTCCGCGAGCGCGAAAGCCTTTTCGCTGTTTGAACCATTTTGGGAAGGATTGAGCACGTTCCAGGAACCGTATCCTATCCTGCTCCCACAGGGACGGGTCCCCGGCGCTTATCCTACCCTGTGGTTGGGAGGGACAGGGTTGCGCCATAGGACCAGCCATACCCTGCTTTTCTAGACTCCAGACAGCGCGACCCCTCAGAGAAGAGCATGCCGCGCCATGGGTGGTAGCTACAACATCACGCGTTCAATGATGGGTCCTATGACGCAAGCAACCCTGTCTCTCCAAGCTTAGGAGATATGACTTTCATTGCGGAGGTGAAAAGAGCCGTTGTGTGGCAAGCGGTTGACAGCAAGATCAAGCATGGTTATAAGAAATTTCTTCCCATACGAGCCCCACGCCGCAATATCCCCTAACTCCCTATCCTCTTTTCCATTCCGGAGGCGTATCGATCGAAACGGAGGGGAGTGGGGATAAACACCTCGAATACAAAAATGGTGAACTTCTCGAATCTTTGCGAAATGCGCATAGTCTGCGACCGGGTTAAGGTTGCGTTTTTCGATTGGCTCCTTCTCTGGAATTTGTGGAATCCACCAATGACTGCTTAATCAGTGTGGTAGTGGTACGTTGAATATGAGCCATGTGAAACTGCCTGCGAAGTTCTGGATGTCGTTCTATCAGCGCAATCATCATCCCAGGAATTTCTGCAATCAATAAGCTTAGGTAGTGTGGGTGTTCTATCTTCGTGACATCGTTTTATAAACGCTTCCCGCAAACGCTATATGTCTAGACAGAGGTCAGGCTGCGATTTGCAAAGTAAGTTCATCTGCTTCATGTGCAGCACTCTTTTGGAGGGTTTGGCAATTTCCCACCGTTATTTCAGGTGTAATATCAAGCATATTTGGACGATTTTGGCGTCCACAAAACATCTCAGAACCCGAAACCTCCAGCTCTACAAAGTTCTACCTTGAAGATGGCTCTGTGACCGATGAAAAAGAGGACGGAGGAGTTGTCGATTCACTAGGTGGTGATAACCCGGCGAACTCAGAGGACAGTAGCAGCAACATCCCTGTAATAGCTTTTGAACCTTCAAAAGTTGTGGACCAACACTACGAGCATTTTTTCTTCAGAATTCTTCTCAAATGCGAGGCAATGGTATGGATATGAAGTATCGGCTTTCTCCTTCTCCAAGTGGCAGTGAGCTTTTATTTGTAATTAAATATGGAAAAATACTTCTCAGTGTAACTAGCAGATTACTTGAAACCTTGGATCCAGTCGCTGATATACTCAAAGAGATCTCGTGGCAGAGTAGCTATATTTGGGAAGTAAGCTTTTTTAGCATTTCCAACTTGCGAGCATTTGTTTCCCGTTCTCTCTGGCGATTTTTACCATCACAACCTCTCTTCCTGTTTTATAAAGCTTTTATGATGCTAAACAACCCTAAGCCGTTGAACTTTGCTTCCTCACCAACCGTGCTCTGGTGCCCTTGCTTAATAAGCTGGGTAAGGTTTCTACTTCGTCGAGTTCCAGACCTATTTTCATTCTTCTGCTGTAATTTTTTTCGAGACCAGCAACACTTGATCCTCACTGAGCTCCAGGACAATACATATATGGTTACGTATCGGATCCAAAAAATGGTTGACGATTTTATCTTTGAGTCCATCATCTCCTTCAGATTAGGCTTGAACTGTATATAATATAACAGACGAGTGGCGCGAGTTCTAAATTGCGCTCACTTTGGTTTGAATAGTTTGACAAAAAAAATCTTTGTCATCC